TACGCAATGAAGTGTTTGGACAAGAAACGCATCAAGATGAAGCAGGGCGAGACCCTGGCCCTCAACGAGCGCATCATGCTGTCCCTCGTCAGCACCGGGGTGAGAGGAGGCGGGCGCCGGGCCGGGCCGGCACCCCGGGTACAGGCTGGTCGCTCCTGCCAGGGCTGCCCGTTCATCGTGTGCATGTCGTACGCCTTCCACACACCCGACAAGCTCAGCTTCATCCTCGACCTCATGAACGGTGAGAGACGCTGGTCCCAAGGGACCAATTCCCGGCCCCAGCACCATGACTGGCCTGAGCCATGGGCTCCAAACCCCTGCCAGCGCCATCCCCAGGGCGCAGAGGGCAGTGACAGGGTGACATCTGGTCCCTGTCACCACAGGGGGAGACCTGCATTATCACCTGTCCCAGCACGGCGTCTTCTCGGAGGAGGAGATGAGGTTCTACGCGGCCGAGATCATCCTGGGCCTGGAGCACATGCACAGCCGCTTCGTGGTGTACCGCGACCTCAAGGTGACCGACTCCACGGGCACCCCGCAGACACCTCGAGCACCCACACCCCCACGGGCACCCTCGGACCCTGCGGATAGAGTCCCCATTGGCATCCCCGGGCCCTGTGGGCACCCACAGGTGTCACAGGCACCCACAGACCCTGTAGGAGCCATCAGACCCCATGGGCACTTCCCCAACCCAGAGGGCACCCCCAGGTCCCATGGGCACCACTGCCCCTGCAGGAACCCACCCCAGACTCCTTGGGCACCCTTGGGACTGCGCAAGCATCCCGAGACCTCTGAGGGCACTCACAGACTCCACCAGCACTTCCCGGTCCCACAGCCGCCCCCAAATCCCACGGAGTACCCCAACCTGACCCATGTGGGCACCCCCAGCCTCGCTGCCCACCCCGTGCCCACGGACAGCGCTTGAGCTCGGGGGTGACACGGTGTCTCGACAGCCGGCAAACATCCTCCTGGACGAGTTTGGGCACGTCCGCATCTCAGACCTGGGCCTGGCTTGTGACTTCTCCAAAAAGAAACCCCACGCCAGTGTGTGAGTGTGCCCGCGCCCCTGCCCGCCCTGTGCCCTCCTGCCTGGCACGGCCCCTGACCCTCTCTCTGCCCCCACAGGGGCACCCACGGGTACATGGCTCCGGAGGTGTTGCAGAAAGGAGTGGCGTACGACAGCAGCGCCGACTGGTTCTCGCTGGGCTGCATGCTCTTCAAGCTGCTCCGGGGGTGAGCGTGCGGACGCGGGTGTGGGCGCAGGAGGGGCACGGGTGGGCGCCGCTGAGTTCCTCTCTCCCCCCCGCGGCCGCAGGCACAGCCCCTTTCGGCAGCACAAGACGAAAGACA